ACAGACATTTCTACCAAGTTTGTTTTTTTGATAACTTACAGGTGTTCCTGGTGCTACCCTGGACACTATTACCGGCATCTTCTGATCGTATCCACCCTTTTAAAACAAATTAAGTAAGCAATAAATCACAAATGTCAGAAAATAATCTTACTAGAAATTAAGAGAATAGATGTACTGTTACCTTTACATTGAAGCCAAACCTTCCATTTTCATCTGGTTTCATTCTGATCATAACAAGATTGTCATGGGGGATACCACCATTGGGCTAATAAACAAAAATAATATAATATTAATATATATTTTGTTCATAGTCAAGACTTTGAGGGTATTGCATGTAATAATTTTGCAGCTTCCTCATCAAGTAATTGTTCCTGGACACTGATGAGAAAACATCAAGTAATAGTACAGATGTCTTATCTTGAGTTTTGTAAAGGGAAAAGTTACACATTTAGAAGTCTGGGACTTGACGAAAAGCGTGTTCTGTCAAAGCAGGCTCAAAGTAAGGAACAGTAATTAGAAAAGACTAATTGGCTTCAAGCAGTCTTAAGGAAAACATTCTACTAAATGAAAACTCCTTAAATTTATTTTAATTAAGACCGCAGTGAAGAGCCTGCAGTAAGAATGCAATATGATTAAAAATAAGGTAATTGAAGGTATACTTTTGTTTCTAGTAACAGCAATATGACGGTAGTAAGGAAGGGCAAGTTTGTCAATAAAATCTTGGATCCACATCCTCTGTTCTTTTTTCAGTGTAGTGGAATACGAGGTGTGACACATGCTTTGCACTGATCAAGCTCTGACAATTTTATCTGCTTTCTTTCTGGTTTTATTCTGATCACAATACTGATAAAGGAACTAGCAATAAACTGAGGAATAGTACATACTTTTTTCATCTGGAAAAATCTGCTTAGTGCCATTGAAGTGATTTTTAGTTTGTTCCAATCAATATTTATTTCACAAGACTGTACATTAGCTAGTATTTCTATTGTTTTGATGGTAAAGATGCAAAGTATTATCACAGAAATTTGTTCCAAGGAAGTTTTCAATGTTACCAATTAAAGCCAAAGCAGAAGACTCTCGTTCAGAAAGGAAGAAGAAAAAAAACACCTTATTAAAGCAAACATTTCTATATGTAAGAAAGTTCAAAACCTGAAGGTCCAATAGGTAAAAAGTCTGCTCAACTTGGCTCATAAAAAGTTAACTCAATTCCATGTATTTTAAGATCTTGGTTAAAACAGAATACACCACCCCCACCCCCTCAAACATATACATAGTAATGAGATGACAAAAACTTGGGGAAGGAAAGGAAAGTAACAGTGTTATATGTTAATGAGAAGGAAGGGTGCTTAGGAAGCGTGATAATCATTTCAGCCTATGTTCACTGGCACGGGAGACCAGAGTCCAGTTCCTGGGCAGAATGAGCAACCAAGTGCTCACCTGCAATGTTTGGCAAATTTATGCCACTGCACTCCCCAGACAAAAAGGGAGTGATATCTCCTGATTTAACAGGCTATTCTGAGCAGCAGTTTATAATGAAAAACCTGAAGAGAGCACTGTATATCCTCATTAACATGTTTGACTGAAGGGATTCTTGGCCACACTTGTTTTCAAATACTTGTGGACATTCTCAGACTGGATATTTAGGGATTGCAGATGGAGTAAAAAGTTGTCAATCCCATATCTGTCCTGCTACCTTTCTAAATTACACTCTCTATACATACAGCAGATGAAGGAAATTCAATAACTGAATGAAGTAAAAATGGTGAAGGATTTTCCTTAAAGTATTTGAGACAGAGCAGCAGAAGAGAGTTTAGTGGTGCAGGAACCTGAAGCATATTCTGGCCAGAAAAGCAATTTTGACATCCCCCCCCTCAAAAAAACAAACAAACAAACAAACAAAAACAACAAAAACCCAAAACACATTCCAAATCCTAAATTTGAAATCTCACAAAATTTCAGGGTCATGCTGCATTTCTCCTCCTCCAATACCCAAAACAAAAAGCCATCATCAGACCAAATTAGATCTTCAATTACAACAGTGTCCTGCCTTAAGTGCGTCTGCATAAATGTGGCCCATTGGACCACAGAAACAATCACATTGACAATGCACAGAGAAAAAAGAATCTCATTCTCATGCAGCTGTGTTGGTTTTGCAGAACTAAAAGGAGTTAAAAAAACAACTGGGAGTTATTTTTGTCAATTTGGTAAAGATAACTGCATACAGAGCAGAAAAACTTGATGAGTAAAGTAGTGTTATCTTTTGAAACAGAACAGTACTTCAGTATGACTCAGGTAAGCACTGGCAGAAGACACAGGTGTTAAAAATTCTGTTTCATTATTTAATTAAAGCAGAACCTTTCACAACATTTCCAAAATGCTCATAAATGTACAAGTTTCACTTTTGTGTGTTTTATTAAAGCCACAGCTATGAAATTAAATATGAGGTTTACGGGAATCTTAACTTTGTAACGGGGCCTGAGAGAACACCCTAGGCTTAGAGTTCAGAATGCAAATAAAAATATACCAAAGGCATTTCTAAAATATCAATTTTGGGAGATGACTCATAGTTTTGAATGTCTGAGGTTGGCAAAACTGTTTATACACTATTTGCCACATCTGGATGTTAAACAGTCTTTCCATCCTCCAAAACGTTTCTTGTCCCACATCAGTATAAAACCAAGAACCATTTGAAAACTTCTGGAAAGACAAAAAAAAAACAGCAAAAAACAAACCCCACAAAAATGGTCCGTGAAATCTCACCTCAGTCAGACAATAATCAACTGACTAGCTTACTCATCTAGCACATGCTTAAATGTTGAAAAAAAACTTTTGTTCAGACTTTTACATTCCTTGTCACAGGTCTCTTGGTACAGTCTTTCTTGGAAATTCTGGTGAGAAATGAAACCACAGATTCAAGAAGCCTCTCTTGACAAACCTGCTCTAGAAGCTGGTAGGTACTTTCAGTTTCATCTTTTTTGATAAAAGTTAGATTAAACACCAGGGGTAGTATCTGCAAGGTTTTCTTTAAAATTGATGGTGCCTTCTCAAAGAAGAGGTTAGTTAGAAATTTCTGCACGTGTCAAAAAGCTAATGTTCAAAATGTTTGCATATCCATCCCAATGTACTCATTCGATGGCAACTGAGAAAGGACTTCTCCAAGAGCTGGAAAAAATAGCGGGAGCTGGCAAAGAGACACTATGTATAATGCAAATGCTGCAGTGTATAGCAAAGACACAACAACTCTCTGAAATGCATCAGAGCCAAGCTCATGAAAAATAGGACTATCATTCCAATAAAAAGCAGGATGGTTAAAGTGGATCCAAAAAACTTACTGTGGATTTTTCAGGTGATGCGGGAACATCAAATGCTTCATTAATATGGTTATCCAGTTCTTGCTGTGAGTGTGAATGATGAATTTGGTTCCAACTGTTCTTTTTGAATTGTTTGGGTGGTAATGCAGGAGGCTGCCCATCTATAGGAGTCTCTTGAGATCTAAATACCAAAATAGAAGTATGAAGAATAAAAATCATGAGATATTGACAGCTCTTTCAGGGTTCCAAATAAATGGAAAATGCTACAAGACAATCAAGAGTTTGAGAGCTGAATATGTATTTTTAGAATCTCAAATTTACTGTGGCAAAATATGTTGTAAGTGTTTGGACACGTTACTGCTTTTTTCTTGACAAGCAACTGTACACAGAACCAGTAAGTTCATCTTTCACATGACTTTTTTTTAAAATGGTTTTAGCATTCTTAACCCACTTTATGTCGGAATACTACAAAATTCACTGTATTCATACTCTGCACTCTTGCTAAAAAAAAAAATTCTAAAATAGATATGTCACATGTTTTCCTCAGTAACTGATTATTTTGCATCTTAAATTAATGCCTGCAATTTAAATCTTCAAAACAGACACAAGCAGCATAATAAAATTCTCCCACTCTACTTTTTAGCTTTTGATCTAAAAATATAAGGAGTGAAAGTTAAAACAACTCTACTGTCCCCTGCATTTATTTCAAAAGCCTACTAGAGATAAGTGTTAAATTTTAATTTTTCAATTTAAAATTATACATTTCAAGAGAACTTTGGGTTTTCCCCCCTCTTGAACATATTCCCCTTTGAAACATTTGTAAAATGGCATTCATCACATGCATTTTTTAGTTGTGTTATTAATATCATTTCTGAAGATGAAATAGCAGAAAGTTTTATTTCTGTTTTAGATCTGCAACCACTTTACTGTAGATTAATAAAAATGTTCTCTGTGTTTATGTATAATATGGATAATTTCCTTTATTAGTCCTTTTGGAATAAAGGCTTAACTGTATAATTTGTATTACATAAATATGACTCATCTCTCATTATATGGCTTCATATTTAAGAATTAAGAACAACATTTTGAGAGGCCCAAAAGGGCAGTTAGCACATAGTTCCCATTAACTTAATTTGAATACCAGTTTCTAAATACCAGCGAGGATACATGCCTTCCTCCCCATGAACCACATTAAAAAGTATTATTAAGTAATTTAACGACTTACGACAACAGCCCACTGATACTAGTCGCAAATCCAAAAACCACCAAGAATGAAGTTACAGGTTACAGCTAAATCTAAAGAGAACACTACCACCAAAATGGGTGTCTCCATTCTTTCTTTCACCCACACCCATGGCCCCTTCCTTGAAGCACTCTGGTGCTCCTCCCTTGGCCAAGGCAGCTGACCAAGCAAGCAAAAATACACTGACTTTTTGGACAAGCCTGGGTAGCTCTCTGCTGGTTCAACTAGGTGAACTGCTTCATCAGAGGGTTGACCACTGCACAGCAAGGGAAGTATACTCCCAGAGCTAGAAACAAGACACTTTCCCCTTCTGTTATCAGCAAGCTGTAGTGGTAATTCATAGCATTACACCCCTCTAAAAAGCACAGGTAACCATGCCAGCAGTCCTGCTGTATTTAACTGGTCTAGCCACAGTAAACTGTTAGCAGGGTAAGACTCTCATTAGAAGACAGCACAACATTTCAAGCTGCTGCAAGTTAGAAAACTTCAGGCACACAGCAAATTCAATGCCATATAATTTGTTTCCATGCAACTAAAGAAAGGCAGATCCGAGATACATGTTTTCAAATAAAAACAAAAAATCAGATCACAATTGTCTACAGTCATTTCAAACAAAGGAGGAACCTCTTTCAAAAAGCATGAAAATTGCATGGGGAATGGAACACTTCACTTTGAAAAAACACATTTTCCATTTCAGTTTTAGAAATATCAGTAAATTTTCCTAGAAAATAAAATATTAATAAAAATTTTTGTCAGTGTATGGAAATAGTACATTTTGAAAGATCCTAACAGTATTTTTTTCCTCTATGTTTTTGCTTAATTTCAACCAGTATCTGATGTCTGAAGAATATCATGTTTAAAACACACTGGGGAATAAAAATAACACTTCTTAACACTTTTCAGTGCAAGTCACAGTTTTTCAGGATAATCAGCTTTTCTAAATTAATTTTTGCAGAGAAAGAGAAAAATATGATTGCCAACATTTCCAAAATGAATTTTCAAGGCAGCTATAAATTATTTAGACTTCAACTTACAAAGGTCACCCAGAGCTTTTTCACTGCCTATATATTTATTAATTCAAGTCTGGTCAGCACAGATTATTCAACCTTTTAACTAAAGGGCAACATAGTTATGTATTTTCCTGCAAACCATTACCCCCGAGAGCTTTAAACAGAATAAAGATGGAACAGAAAACACAAGTAGAGACACAAAAGAAGTCATCCCTATAAAAGATGGGATCTTATGTTTGACTAGATGTCTGTACATATATGTCAACAAACACAAATAAATTCCTACTGAACATACAAACTTACAGAAAAGATTTGAAAAGTTACTTAAATGAGCATTTTGGGAGCAGTAATGCAAGTACTGTAATATATTAGCATAATGAATTGTGAGAACTAACAATCAAGCCCCGGGCAAAAACTTCACTGCTTTATATTTGCCCAGTCAGCTTTGAATTTCCTTATGAATGCTTAGACAATGGCAGTGAAAGCAGCCTATTTTGCAGGCAAAGCAGCTCTCTGTTACTGCATTCAGCAATTTACATAATAATAAAATAACACACAAACCCTGGCACTGACAAGCTTTGGGTATTTTTGTTACAGATATCCGGTCTGATCTTTTAATATATTAAGCGAAAGTTTCATACACACCCCCATAAATTTATTAAACTAAACACACATCACATGCTTCTGGAATTTAAGGTTGTAATTACCTCAGGGAACTAGAAGCAGAAATCTCTCAATTTAGTTTTGAATAGCACATGCAGATGAGGACAAAAACGTGGAATTAAAGGTTGTATTAGCCAAGCTAAAGTATCCTTCTAAACTGCACTGAAACGAATTTCTTTTGCTATGCTGACTCCAAATGCAAAGCAATCACTAAACCTACTGCCTGTCAGGTTAGTCCCTCTTACTTTCTCACATATACAGATCTGATCCATAAATATAAATTCCCAACAAATTAGCACATGAACTACTGAAATCTTCTCACTCAGAAAGGTCAAACTGTTTAAGAAATAGGTTTTTTGGACTGTAGAAAAATGTAATTTTACATTACAAAGCTAACATGGACTTCAGGACTACCACTTCCTTTCTTAAATCTTGAGTCTTGAATCAGTAACATCACCTGAGACTTTCAGAAGAATCTAATGCAGTTCATATATTTTTGACAGACAATGTCCTCATTCTTACAACTACCTTATGCTACATTATCTATACTGAGAAATTAACCTCCACTTTTAAGCCTCCAACAAGGCAGGGAAAGGGAGAAGCCCAAAATTCAATGATGGAAGAGCAACAGTTTTTCTGCTTTGCATAACAAGTGCAAAATCATGAAAAAGAACAGCCATAGTTGCATAACTAATTTATAAAACCACTTCATCTCTTTTTAAGACTTATTTCTATGTTGATTTACACAAGAAATCAGTTATTAAATAAACAAATCCCAGGGACACTCAGGAACATCTTTTACAACTTAGAGTAAAAGCGTATGAATAAAAGAGAATATTTAAGAATTTAGTTCTATCATTCTACCCTTCAGTGTTTCTCGTAACTGACTTCAGTTAGAAGTCATGGAAGAGAAAGAACCTGCCCATGTGGCCTCTGTACAGCAAAACTCTAATATGAGAAAAGATTCACCCATGTTCCAGTGTTGAGACACCCCTGCCACGTGACTAGGCTAAAAAAGCCCACTAAAAAAACTGAGATTTTATATTATTAGGCCAAATTGCTGTATTATAACTCTGAAAGCTAAATAACTACCTGATGGTCAAATTATAACTATGCACCCTATTAAAAAAAAAGTGTCTTGTGTTATTTTACAAAACTTTTAGAAATTTTGTATTCTATTCCCCTCCCCAAAGTTACGCACAGTTGATGAAATGGAAGGTAGAGTCCAAGCAAGGTTTTAACAACTATGTTCAAATTCCCTCCCAGAGTAATCTCTTCCCGAGACACAGAAGTTGTTTATAAACATGTAATTATGTATCTACTAGCTTATAGTTTCCAAATGGTTCTGAAACCATTTGCAAAATTTCCTTGTGTGCAGAGATTATAAAAAATCATGAGGGCAAATTTAGCATTATATGTATAGCTACATATAGCTATATGTAGCCATACAAGAAGTACAGTGGCAGTGTTAATAAGGAATGTATTATGCACCTTTTTCCCCTCAATTAATCTGCATCATGGCCACTAGTCATTGAGTATTTAAAATCTTTTAATAACTCAGGTTTTTCTTTGTTTCTCATCCTTCTGGACTTAATATACTAGTTTTTATTTTGCCCATCACAACATAGTAAACTTAGAGTATCAAGAATATTCAGTTTAACAGAAAAAAAACCCTGATGGTGCTACCTCTGTGCCTTGACAAAAAGCAAAATCTCTGAACTCACAGGAATTAAAAACTTCTATAAGAAAACAACATACTTCAGTTCTACCAAAAAAACAAAACAAAACAAAACAACACCACACCACAAACCCAAAAAAAACCCAAACAAACAAACAAACAAAAAAAAACAACAAAAAAAACCCCTTTCACATCCACATCCAGACACTGATAGTCACATTCCAGCAAATCCACATTTACACTAGGTAAGCGGGTAGGGAAGGTATTGCGATCGTGTACCAGGAACATGCCAGATATAGGTCTTAACATCTGTATCATTTAATTTTCAGTAAGACCTATACTAATAGTCCCTAAACATCAGCTACCTTTTTATTAGATTTTCTGGCCCTCCCTGACCCAAACATTTAATACTAAATTCTTAATAGTGAAGATTTCTGACTTATCTTCAGAAGCCCTGCATACCACCATAGAGCAATGACCAACAGAACTTACGGTGATGATTCCAGTATGATGCTATTAGCCTGGGTGGAAGAAGGAGATCTGTGATTTACAAATACTTCACTTGGAGAAGTGTGAACTACATGGTCCACTAAATGTCCAACTGATGAGGGTCGTAACCGGGTTCCTTCTTGAGTGAAGGCAGAGTTGCGACTAAGAGGGAAAGCACAGCAGTGCAATGTGAAAATAATATTATTACTACCCTACATTTCCTACACCACTACAAAGGAATGCTAAAATAAGTATTTCCGCTCAGTGCAAGCATATGTTCGCATACATATTTTTAATAAACATTTTAAGGTTTCAAAAATCACCGAAACAATTATGTTGTTGGATCAATATGCTGTATTTCATAATTTTCTTTTTAAAGTGTTCAAAAGTCATTTTTTATAAACACTAAATGGATAGTATTTTTCATTTAAAAAAAAAATAAATTCTGTTTTCATTAAAGAAGCCTGAAAGTATTATGGTCCAATGTTCAGGCTACTGGACCAACAGCCCAGGCAATGAGAAGAAAAATTAATCCCCAAGAAGAAAAATCCTGGCTCTGTTCATGGCAGAACTTAATATGAATTCATTAAGATTAACATTTTATCCCCCATATCTTCTCCTAGAGGGATCATAAGCTTTGCACTAGGAATCTTATAATTTCTGTGACCCAAAAATTTCCCATTTGAGAACTAGCAGAGTGACATAGCCATCTTTCTTAAAATGCTTTGAAACATAAGTTATGTTATGCTATAAGTATCATTAATACACTTAATTTTACAATAATTTTTAAATGCTACAGATATTTACAACAACAGTCTTTTGAATAATATGCTGTAACGCCAAAGAATCTTAAAACCTTATGGTTTATGCAATACAAAATTGGATAATACAAATTCTTAAGCCACTTTCGGCACACTGAGAAAATAGGTTCTTTTCCAATTTTTCACTAACTATAAACATAAACCAGAATGATCTATCATGTGAAAAGAGTGAGTTTTGAAAGGAAATGCAGAAAAATGAGGAGAATAAACCTGCACGGATTTCTGATAAAGTAATTTTCCCCGATGTTTTAAGCAAGTGGTATTAGTTAGAGTCAGTTTTTTCTAAAATATCACACAGATTTTATTAACCAAGTTTTATTTAATATTGTATTTTAAAAACCAAGTTTTTTCTTAGCCAAATGAATAAATTTAGTTTTAACTGTGCTTGAGAAAACTCAAGCTCTCAAATTCAGGGTAGTGTCCTACATCTTGCACATTTTATAGGTTGAGCGAGAAGCACCTAAAATTCACCCCCAAATACTTTCTCTTATCTGGAGCTAAATGTTCCAGAGAACCACTCAGCACATAATTTGTGAATTTATTTGTGTCCGTAATGCGTTAATCTTTTTACTATACAAGCAGGTCACCCCTATTAGAGGCAACCAGTCAATTCTAGGAAATTTGATGCTACTTACTGATTCGGGGTTCCAGGTGGAGACCGTGATGGTAGGCTCTGTGTTTCCAACCTATCATCAGACAGTGAGTTCCTGCTCACTACTTCCCAGTCCATCCCACTCATTAATTTCCGTGCCAAGGGTTTACTGGGGGATCTGGAAGAAGAAAGTAAAATAACTAACCAAAAATTATATGAGGTTAAGAACAAAATTACATAACATTCACCACAATGAAAATGTGGCTGTTCTATCATAGGAAACCAAATTATATGGACAAAAGGAAATGTAATAATGCAAAACTATATTTACACAGGCAGTTCTGTATTTTTTTGATACGTTGTACTTCATTTTCTGTACTTTGTACAAGAACATGAATGAAATACAGTCATGAAATACTGTTGGCTGGGAGGGAGACACAAGATGGAAGAACCACTCTCTAAATTTCACCAGGTATTTCTAATGCCTCAAAGAGAATCTGACTCAAACAAAAGAGTCAGAGAGGTTTGAACTTAAAAATTAAAAAAAACAAAACAAAACAAAAAACCACAGACAAAAAAGCCTCTAAGTAACACAAGTATTCAGCCATCTCAGAAAAATAAAGCAGTGGAAACATCAGCCCAAAAAAACTCCCAAAGACTTTGAGGAACTGAAAGTGGGGTAATCATCAACATAGCTACAGAGCTGCTGGGTTTTGTTTACTCATCAGGGATTTCCATCAAGGTGGCATGCTGTCTTCCAGAACATGTTTTGTCACCTGTAAGGTAGATACAATCACCCTATTTAAACTGCTTTTGGGTAACCAAACTTCATTTGGTTTTGTGCCAGAAATGTCCTTCAGGTTAAAGGTCATTATTGTCAGTGCTTTTATACAGAAGGAATTGTATATTCTGCTCATTGCCCTTTCTTAATACTGAGGAAGCTTTTTCTTCTTATTGTCCAGTCATCCGAGGATACCTACAATCCCCTTCTGCTTTTTCTTTCACCTATTTCTTAAGCAAAAATGGGACCATACTTGAAATCTCTCATAAAATAGTGTTTTTTCCTTTTATACTGGAAATCATCAAATGAATCATCCAAGAATTGTGGTTGCTTTTTTCTTAGCATCACAGGGGATGGTTCAGTCATCCTGCAACTAAACATACTTAGACTTTTGCTGTTTGGTTTTTTTCAACTGAAAATTCTTTAGTGAACAACAAAAATTCTTCTGAACAATCCTTAAATATATGTCCCGGGTATTTTGTGCTACCAGGTTTTGACTTCTACTACTTTGATGGTGCTATATAGTTCAAATTTCTCCTCTATCATTACCCAACCCTCTCTGGTTCCAGTGATACCTCAATTTCATCAAGTCTTTTGTGCCATGATAATTTGATTCCCATTTGCCTTTATATTCTATCACTATACTTTGCTCTGCTCTCCAGCTTTGCACAATGAGGTGACAACATATTATTGTATCAGCATAACTCCTTCATTTCTTTCCCCATGTCCATATACCCACTTCACAGAATAACTTCTGCCTTTGCTGTCCTTGAGACAGGTGGTAACTGTTCTTTATCTTCATCATTATCGCCTTACTGATTTACTGAAAGTGCAAGTCCAGAAAGAAGGAACTTTAAGAAATTAAGAAATTTCCCACACACAAATTACATCCTTCAGAAAATGAGAACTGTAGTTACAAATACAGTTTGGCTTTTCACAGAACTTAAAACTCAGTGCAAGATACCACCTTAAGCAGATTGTCCTCAATATTATCAAAAAAGTCTACAACAGTAACCAACTAAGCATTGTATCAACCAATCTATCTTCACATGCAGAAATACCTAAGTCCTAGTAACATCAACAGCATTTGTTCGATACTAACAGAGTGCAGATCTGTGTGTGGAGGGCTTATTTTTTGTTTTCACCCCCCACCCCACCCCTCCCCAGGCAGTTCTGAACATGTATTGCATGCTGCTTTGCTGCTCTGAAGACTTATTGAATAACAGCTGACAAATTTCAGACAGTTAAATGAGATAGGCCATTCTAAATACTACTGTTTCAGGTCTTATTCCACCTGGGAAAAAAACTAACAGTATACTGATTATTTGAAAACAGGGAAAATATCAATTATTTAATTCCTGATGAAAACCAAATCCAGCTTCTTAGCATGCTTCACTGTATTTAAGCAATATTAATTTGATTCAAAAATAATTAGCTTGATACCATGTCAATTAAACTAGCATTTTAATTTCTTTAATTTGCTTCAAATGGGAGCAACTCAAATCATCTAGATACTTTTCTTCACCAACACAACAAATTTGAGCAGTTCTGAACAGGTAAAAAACCAAGCAAGCAGCACAACTGAAATGCACGTTTAATGTTATCTGCTCATTACTCTTTCATTAATCAAAGCTACAAAGAGCTAGAGTTTGCCGACAAGATGTTTGCAGCCAGCAGATGAGCACCAAGAGCCAGCTCTGCCAACAGGTGGATTCTACAAACCCAAGAACAGGCTGAGTGATAAATTCAGAGGAACATAATATATCCAAAGCTAAATTAGGTAAATGCAGAGCTGCAGACACAGTATTTTCCTACAGACATGTAAAAGCAGCTATTGAACCTTATTTATCTTCAATGAAAAAGTAACAAGTGGATTACAGGAAAAGTGGTGGGTTTGTTTAAAAAAAACAGTGCAACAACAGTGAAAGGGCACTATCCTTGCCTGTATAAAACCAATTAAATTACAAACAGAGACACAAAAGTATATAGGGAGGAGGAAAAAAATGTTTTTTCTAAAAATTACATTTTTGACTGCTTTAAAAAAAGCCCACCACACTGCATCTTAATTCATAGTTTGTAACTACATTTTCAAAAACTTCCTCAATCTATGCAAGAAATGAACGTAACTCTAAAATGAGAAAAGCATCACCTGCTTCCCTATCAAAAATATCTGAAGTTAAGAAAACTCACCTTTTAATGAGGATAGGGTCTGATCTTTCAGGAATAATACCTTACTACCATGATAAACAGCTGCAGTGTTTATCAGCAAAGATTTGTTTCAATTATTTTATTAACAGCTCTAACCTCAGAGTCCCACCCACTCATGTTTGTTGCCTCCATTTCCTGTCTTTGCAGAAATTTCAAAGAAAAAATTACCACACTTCAGCACTGAACTTCTCAGTGCTGTGGCTTTTTGATACTAGTTCTTGTGCAAACACTTCTAACAACATGTTATTTTTTTATTAAAATTTAAGATATGTTGTGAAATATTCCTGTAAATTTCTCCTGTATCACTAATTCCTTACAATATTCAAATAACTTTCTCATGCCAGAGTGCAGCTGAGGAGATGGGAGGGGGGAAGTAAGCTGTAAAAAAACTTTTTAAATGTTTTGATAAACTCTGAAATTAGATCTAAATTCCACATTTGTCTGCTCAGTCAGGATGCTTCTATTGCACCTCAGTATAGGGCACTGCTTGTTAACAAAGTAAATGATTTTCAGATTTAATTTTTCATGTAACCTACAGAGACATTCCTAAAACAGTTGGAAGTCCTATCTATCTAAGTAGGCACAGAGACCAAAAACTTTGTTCCCAAAATCAAGAACAGTCTTATGAGCTGCGATACTACCTCAAATTAAAAAAAAAAACAAACCCCAAGTAGCAGGGATGAAGCTATAAAATGCAACTAAAAAGCAGCATGACGAATTATATTAGCTCAGCTACAGTATGCAAACGCTTTCGAAGACAGAATTTGCTTTGCATCCTACAGCTGAAGTACTAAATTCTCACAGGAGCAGGGAAAGAAAGAGGGCATTGTTTGGGAATAGAAATGTGAATCTTTTAAATCATTTCTGTCCCAAAAAGAAATATAATCTGTAGTCACAGCCTTACTTTGTATTTTAACAAGGAATACAGGGAATGCGTTTCTCAGCAAAACTAGCAACTACTGCTTCAGATTGAGAGACTGAAACTATACACAAATCTACAGACACACCACAGATGACATATGCAGTTATAATGCAACCAAGGAATTACTTAATTAACCTGAATAAATGCATGGTTGAAAGAAGATTGGATTTTTGGAAATGGAGATTGCAACTTAATGACAGGGAGTTTGCAAATACAAGTGACTGACTGAGATACCCACTCACTATCATACAACGTGCATAAACTACCTTCTCTCGGCTCCACTACAGACCAGAAGTGAACAGCAGAATTACAATATTTTGCAAGAGAACAGAGAGAACAGTGTTCTCTAAGAGAGAACAGCGCTCTTTAAGAAATCTCTCAATTCATTACTTGATCAAACTTTTTAAATTTTTATTATCTACTTCCAACTTTTATTATGCTCCTGGGAATTCTTATAGGTTTTCTTGGGCTGAATATCCTGCAACAAATGAGGCCAAGAGAATAGCTGTAATGAAGATTAAAAAAAAATTAAAAAATCTGAACAACTGCAGCAACAGTGCTGACGTTAGTGCTGCATGAATATAAAGAAAATAGCATCTACAAAATGTATCAAATTTATTACATATTATCTCCTTCATAGTAAGATTCCATTTTTAGAAATTAATTTTTAAATGTTTTCATTATTTGGAAAAAAATAATCAATGATTACTACTTCAGCTAATTTTAAAGTAAAATCCTGAGGACAAACAGCTAAGTGTGCTAACTGTAGGTTATAATTACTTGTTTTATTCAAATGGCTGCTAAGAAATTTTATTTCCATGTCTTGTGCTCTATATCTATGTTCCACTCAGTGTGCAGATGATCATTACCTATGGCAATCATCGTTTCCCAACTTAGAACAAACAGATCACTCAAACAACATCTCAATGTCACTATCAGAGTCATTTTCTTACAATTAAATGATTCAAAAGTTTGCTTAGACAGTATTAGCTCAAATAAGGCAGTTTCTAATTAGATATTGATGAAAAGACAGAGTGTATCTCTGCATAGCTCTCGAAAAAAAATGAAAACTTTTTTTAACTGATCTTTAATAAATCTTCTGATATTGTAATAATAAAAGCAACAGTAATTATTTGAATTTTTGTGTGTCCACTTAATTCTAAAGAAAAACCTGAATGTAATGCTAGCACACTCCTGGTTTCATATTAAAAGGCAACCAATACCTAGCAGAACTTTCAAAAGCAACCAGAAGCAGCTCGCTGCTTGACAGCTTAAAAAGCTGTTCAACATCACAACGACTTGGTCTGAGAAAGACACACTGAGAAAGAGAAAGGTTACAGGAACAAAAAACACGTAATACCTGGAAAACCTTAAGCAAAATATATCCTCTGAATACAAAAGTGCTAACATCTACTCAGTATTTCAACTTGAAATGTAAATGCTTAGAAGACAAGGAACTGAAGATAATGTTCTCAGATTAAGCTTCGTGAACCACACTGTTCTAGAAATGTCTTCTATTTCAAATTTTTTCACCCTTGAAAATACTAAAAGTCTTTGAAATTGAAAATTCATTAATTGCAGGCTGTGATGGCGAAGACAGAGGAAGAAGAAACAGATGATGGATTAAAAGCCTTTTGAGGTATATTTGTTACAATATGTCACTCATTTCAGCTCACTGACATATGTATATATGCCTCAGACATTTATCAGTCATCAACACTACCGAACAACTCAACAGGTGAGGTTGAACGCTGTATTCCTTAATCTAAAAGCAACAATGGAAAATAAAATTAGAGGAGAAGAGCCAAGTATTTTACTAACTAAAAAAAGCCAAACACACTTTATAAAACAACAGAGCAGTTCAAGCCATGGCTTTCAATTTTATCCAGAGTACATATTACAAAATACAAGTGACCCCAGCACCACTTGTTCAGTTTTGACTCAAAGGGAAGAGTGCCATCTACTGAATAAGTTTCTAAAATGATAAATACACTCCTCAAAACCAAGTATTGGCCCTCCTGTGCCCTATTTACTTGTGGGGAATTGCTAAATTCAGAGTGCAACAAGAAAAATAGTTTAACTGATTCGTAACTATCATTTAAATAAATAAAACTCAGTTGTCACAGTGTTGAGTCTTCTGAGTACGAAAATGTTGCCCCAAGTAAAAATCTAACCAGACTCCCAACGTAAAAAGAGAAAAAATAATTCTACCGCACAAAGAACAAATCGATCTTCTAAAATCTACCTGTTGAACAAACATGTCACAGCACTTCTGCCCCCACATCCTTCTAATATAGAGCTGGGTATTTACAGTATGCCCAGCTGAAGGTTCAAATTGTATTATATTGCATGGAGGGAAAGAAAACGGGAGGAGGAAGGCAGGAAATTAGGGCAGAATTCACCAATGCAGGTAGTTGAAAGAGTTCCTTAAGGGGTAACTATGCTAAAAGACATTCCCCATCTCATTAAAAACATAAGCATAAAAAAAAGCACGGAGCATGCTCCCTGCTCATAAGGATTCTTTCTATTAATGATCAGAGCAGGCTGGCAAACAGATGCAGCAACAGTTTTACTTTTGAATACTGTATCGTAATTTCCGAATGAAGAGCTAAATCTACGTGTTGCCTGTTTTCTTGTCATCACTAAACACCTCAGGAGTCTGGAACACAACTAAGTAATAGATTCAATGATCAGCCAACTACTCTGACAGAATACCTTCAGAACCAGCTCACTGCCAGTCAACTTCTTCATAGTAAAATACCTCATTGGGACTATAATGATATAGTTGTTCTCACCAAGTAAGACACTCACAGTACCTTATTCTAAAGGAAATGCGTGTACAGTTGTATGTTGTTACCAGGGATAAAACACACCAAATAACTGAATATTTTCATGGCATAGTCAAAGAGACCACTACTTGCAATAAGGCAAGCACAGAGGGCTAGTACATTTTAAAAACAAACTACACAGACAGAACGTAATTCTGAATTTTGAAAATATATGAAGGGAGAAATATTAAAGAATACCCTCATTAACTTTTCCATCATAAGACTTTCCCCCATTTTTGTCTGCCCAAAAGAGACACTCTCCTATCAAAATTAAACTCCTTAATATGGTTAAATCAAGCCACCAGCAACAGTTAAAAACAAGTGCTCTTTATTTTACATTTTTGCAAACAGAAAACAATGATCCCATAATATCTTAACAGATATAAACAGAAGACTTACTGATACTGTACAAATGTAAACTACTTACCTTGCAAATACCCTGTCTTTATTTGCTCTTTCTTTACCATACTGCACAGACTGGACTTCTGTTCTCCCACTGGAAAACAAAACAAAACAAAACATAACCAAACCACTAAATGCAACAAACTTATGACAACAATTTATTTCTTGAAACTGAACCATCTCAACCAAAAAAAACCCCTAAATTCTATTTTCAGTTGTGCTCAAGCAGTTGTGCTAGCTTCAGTACAGTGTAACTTTAGTCAGCATTGGGTAAGTGTACATCTTCTTTCCCAGTAGAGTCTAACTGTAACAAAGACCAATTAATTTTAGGTATAATATACAGCTGTCTCATCTCTTCCTTTTTTTTTTTTTTTCTTATCCAAAGCAGTAAGAATATTCTGCTTGGATCTTTGGATAACACTTAACACTATAATCTTTCCTGTCACAGCCACAATCAAGCGTTACAGCATCTCCTCCGTACTCCCCGTAAACTATTCCCTGAACCACTAATAACTTAAGTCGCTACTTAGTTCAGCAAAATATCATGAAGAAATGAGATAAGCACATCAGGATTGTATTCTTCTATGCAACTTGTCCAAACCAAGATTAGAACCCAGAACTTGCTGACTTTTCACATAAGACCAGATGCCTGGTGTCAAATCAAAGATCCTTTACAATATATCATAATTTCTGTTTTTTTTAAAAAAATACATTTTTTTTTAGCGCCTATCAGCAGTTAAGAACTAGTGGCAAGATATCAGCAAAATTCTCTCCTGCAGCCACTTCCCCATTTATAACTTCATATCAAGGCACAGAATCAGAGGACACGTCCTGAAAGGATACTGATACTTAAAATTCTGCTCTTTTCTGTCCCTTATAGAGACATTTACACAATTAAATCAAAGAATAATTAGCTATTTTCACATTTATATTACAGAACTACTGGACATGCGAAGGCTGGTGAAATGGCCCAACTGGAATCTCGTTAAATTTAGTGAAGGGAAATGCAAAGACCCGCACCTGGGGAGGAACAACCTTGTGCACAGGCTGAGGGCCAAGTGGCTAGAAAGCAGGTTTACTCAAAACTAGTTAGGCCACATCTGGAGTGTTGTGTCAAGTTCCAGGGTCCCCCCAGGCAGAAAAAGGGCCAAGAAGACAATTAAGGGTCTGGAGCATCTGATGTATGGGGAGAGGCTGAGAGATCTGGGACTGTTCAGCCTCAGGAAGAGAAGGCTCAAGGGGATCAAATGAGTGCATATAAGTGTCTGAAGGGGGAAGTAAAAAAGACAGCCAGACTCTTCTCAAGGGAGCCCAAAACCAGGGCAAGACGCAATGGGCACAAACTGAAATATGAGATATCCTACTTAAACAGAAGTGGGCAAAAGCAACAAAAAAATCTCCCACAAAACAAAAAAAGCTTTTTATTCTGAAGGTGGTCAAATACTGGATCAGGTTGCTCAGAGGTGATGTGGAGTCTCCATCCTTGGAGACATTTAAAATCTGTTGGGACATGGTCTTACGCAACCTACTATATAGCAGACCCTATCTGAACAGGGCATTGGACTAGTTACTGTCCAGAGCTGCCTTCCAACTAATGCCATGCTGCGATTCTAAGAAATCTCTCTTTTCAAACCTGCTGCTGCTAACTTCTGGAGTTACACATTTTTAACTCTGACAAGCAGTAAGCCATCTGTATTTTCCTCTATTCCTTTCCAATAACTTTAACATTGTATTTGCCTTTCTCTTAACTGCTACTAATAACTGATTTGATGTTTTCAGAGAACTAACTACAAAGCTCAAAGACAGTAATAGATTATTTGTAACTGATGTTCCTCCTCTCTTTCTGTGTAGGCTTTTTTGCATTTTTGGAAACAGAACTTGATCTACCATTTTATTGCCTACTCATCCATCATTGTGACATACCACCAAAACTTTCTCCAGTCAACTTCAGCTTTTTCTACAAAAACCTGTATCACTGTAGCAGTAACTTCCCTTCTTTGTCAAAAACAGACCTATTTGTTTCCCATCTGGTTAAAGCAGTTGCTAATATACAATAAAACTCTTCATATTTTGGCAGTTTAACTTCTTTAGTGAGTGTTTGGTGAGAAATACTATAAGGACGACTTTGAAAACCCAAGGACAGTGTACAGAAGTCAAATTTTCTCATCAGTAGTCTTCTTGATCCCTCCCAGAAGCTTTTGTTTGGATGTTTTTGTTGGATTTTTTTTTTAAAACCTTGCTTTAAAATTTGCTGCATTAGAATCTTTTAGTCCAACAGAAATAATAGATTATGTAATTAATAGATTAAGAGTTCATCAATTCCTTGGTGTCTGATTTCTTTCAGAACTGGTGATGATTCTGTCTAGCCCTGATAGTTTAGTTTTTTATTAGTTCATTTTAATCATAGAAATGTTAGCTCTGCTCCAATCTCCTGCTAACACTAGGTCATATCTGGCCCTTGGCTTTGTCTAGATGAGTTTTAAAAAGTGTCCAAAACTAGAGATCCCACAACCTCTTTGGGTAACTGATTCCAGTAATGCACCACCCTCCTAGAAAAACAAAAACCCAAAAACTTTTCCTAATGTCCAGCTAGAATCTTCAAGGTGAAATTGGTGGCTGTTGCCCCTTATTCTATCACCTGCCACTACCAGCACAGGTTTGGCTCCATCATTTCCGAAACTGCCCTTTAAGTAGCTTTAAGCTTGCTATTAAATTCCCCCTTAGCTTCCTCTTCACCAGATTAAACAAGCCCTGTGCCCCCAACCTCTCCTTGTGTGCCACATTACTACTATTATGCTGCCTCTAAACAATCTCTCAAACTACTTGCAGAAATTCTAGCCTTTTGGCTGCTATGTTAACTTTAATTACCTTCTTCATTTTTATGCAGTTTCCCTTTTCATCTTACATTAACGTAAGTTGAATGTCACCATCAAAGAGCTATTCTGTAACAGTAACCACAATGATTCAAATTCAAAATCTTTACAGAAATGAAAAAGCTCCCTCAAATTCACTACTACAACCGTGAACCAAGTCTCAAACGCTGTTCAGATTCACGGAATGCTGTTTCTCAAATGGGTGCTATGAATGCTGGTCAAAAAAACAGATGGTATAAAAACTCAGCCACTGAATTATTTTCCTCTTTATACGTTTATGCGATTCACAAGTGTAACAGAAATAGTCTGCTATTGCATTTTCTAGCTTTTCATCATCTCCCTTTGTACGTCACAGACACTACTGCCATTCCAGACGGATGTTTAGCAGTAGCTCCATTATTCTCTGCTTCAGGCATGATTTAAACCATCAGCATTCTGCATTACTTGCAGAGACAGTTAACTCAGTTACTTTACTGAGGTATTTCTTTTTTTTATAAAAAGCATAAAATACTTTAAAAACCAACACCACCCACTCCATTGTTAGAATATAAATGATACTTGGGGATTATACTGCTTCCACAGTCAGCCTTTACACCTCCAAGCTTTTTGCCTATTATGTCAAGTTCATCCTTAAAAGTTATGGTTTTGATTTCATCCTTATTTTCTAAACTTCTGGTTTTGGTGCAGAACATGTATGTTTTTTGTTTTCACCCAATTGCCTATTTGTATGCATCTAGCTTAAGTGAGCTTTACTTGTACAAGCTTCTTTTCATTGATTTCTATTTGATCTTTATTTAGGTCTGTTTTGGTGATGTTGCTTCACACAAGATCTGAGATCCACCAGTTTTCAAAAACACCAGGCCAAAGACTTTGAAGTTCTGAAACAACATTCTTAATATAAACATAACCCAGAAGGTAAGCAGGAGAAGAAATGCAGCCTGTGAGATAATCTCAGAGTACTAATTTGATAATGACTGCTAATAATACCATCATTGCATTTACAAGATATCCTAGAAAATGACTGATATTTGAAACTTAGGCCAACACAGGATGGGAATAGTTGCAGAATTCAAAGCCTACATGAATTATAGCATTTTTTAATACAGATTCTAAATAATTCCCTATGTTTATTGATGAGCTGCCTGTTCTCTTATGTTCTTTCCCAGATATTTTAAATCAGCACTTACCAGTACCGGAACTTGGAACCCAAAGTGAAATAATGTGCAAAAAAGTTCTTCTGAGGGGGGAGTGGTCTGTCCAAACGGAAGAAGGTGTGATGTTCAACACAAGCTTTCCATAAATTCTTACATGCTCGGTAATTCACCATATTGAATCCCAATAATGTTTCTCTAGACTCATGCTAAAAATAAGAAAAAATTATTTCAGATAAAAATAATTCCCAATTACTTTTGAAATTAACATAAATATTGTTAGTTTTGATTTTTCAAAAACTATGCTTTTTGAAGTGGTTCTCTAATTTTACATTATCTTTATGTATTACAAATCCTTTTAAATGCCTCTAAGTTTTCTTTAAAGTAGTTTTAAAGGTTATAGCCACTTTTTCTTTTTTTTTGAGGAGGCTGCTCACAGGTTAATAGTCTATTTAGGGATAGTGAAAACAAGTCTAGATGGGAAGAAATGGTCCCAAAAGGTAGGACCCAAACTACATTTGAGTTCTTGAAGCACAGACATTTTTAAAGGCAACACACCTCTCTGTTTTAATATTACTACAGTTAAGCCAAGGAATTGTCATGCACATGTGCCAATTAAGAGACTGAGAACAGTTATTGAGTGATATGCCCACTTCTAAATTATTAATTAGGTTCCTGGTGAAGGAAAGAAGCAAAATTGCAAAGCAAGCTAAGCTATTCTGCCCGTTGAGGGAACTTGATTGCAACCTTTGTAGGCCAGAAAACTTCATCAGCACTCTGCTTTCTGCTCGCAGTACTAAATCCTCCACAACATTTAGCACATCTTAACTGTTTTCACTTAGCAGCAAATTAAGCTTTTGCTGGTCTTTAGATCTGCTGAGACAGCGGGGCACAGACTTGCCACTCTTCTCCCAGGTAGTTTGTGGGAAGTTGTGACTAATGGCTAAGAACAACACTGTACTTTCAGCTACATGAAGAATTTAAGGTAAAGAATAAAAGGGATTTTAAAAAGTAAACAGGAAAATTCTGGTTATCTATTGATGAAATTCAAGAAATTATATTCAAGAAACTAAACCCTGATCATTTACTTCAATTTATAAAATCTACTTACATCTCTCTATTTAACAGAAATTAAGTCCATTACCTATTCAGTTAAAAAAGCTTTATCAACAACGCAAATGTACAATAATATAAACAAGATACATTATTATTCTGCAAGAGAGCTACTATATAAAATTATGAACTGCCTCATCTGGATCCAGTAAAGGACGAACCAGCTAAGATTTTTAGATTCCAACTAAAAGTTCTCATGATGTAGCAAATTTTAACGCTCTGTCAGCCTTTTACAGTGTTGGAAAGATATATTAAAGTTATGTTAGCCGGTGATCATGCAATTTCATATCACTCTTAAAGCACTATCATCATGGGTTGGGGGGAAAAAAATATCCTGCTGTTTCCTCTAGTTTGTATTCCAGAGAATGAGGCAATCCTATTCTCATGTCACCATCTGATCACTAGATCAGGCATGAAGCATGAAGGCGGAGCTGGTACCACAAGATGAAAAGGAGCTGCAGCTAGATCTGCTTAATTGTAATGCAAAACACCACTTTCCCGGGAACTTGGTGTGTCAGAACTTTAAAGGTACCTAACAATAGTTCTATTCATAGCTTTTAAGACTCTCATTGCAGTGCAGAGAGAACCGATTCTCAAACCCTACCCTTCATCTCAATTACAGCTAGGAATCAGTCTTTAAGGTAAAGAAGAATATAACATATTGGCTCCTAAGTACATCCGTCCTTTTCCTATCCACCCTGAAATGTTGTGCAAAATCCAAACGCAAGTTGAGCACTTGAAAATAATCTTTCCTGATGATTCTGAGGTACAAGCCCTGATTCTATTGTTGTCTTGTAGCTCGATTATAATCGGATTTCTCTGAAAATAGGCTTGAATCAATGTGGGCTCAGCATAAGGCCCCAAGGCAACATTTGTTCATGTCCATGGTACTTTAGCCAAAAGCACATAAAATAACAGGAAGGTTATGATGCAACCTATGAGAATGTTTTCATAGCACAAGGCTCCTGGAAGACACAGAATGCTCTATTGTATGACAGTGACGTACAGGTACTTCAGGGTTTTAGGTCTCTTGAGACAGTGTTAGAAGACTACCTCAAGGAATCACAGTTGGATTCTGTTCTGATATTATGATTTTAGTAATTGTGTCCATGGCTCCTATTAAAGAGAGGAAAACAGTCAGCTTGCTAAGGAGAGGGAGAAGAGTGAAGCAGCTGGAATGCAATACCAGTGATGAGAGGCCCAGGGCCCAAGCATGAAACTACAGGTAAGCCAAGCACCAGCATGTAAATTAATCATAACCTCACATAGGTACACCATGTGGCAAGCTACCTATAGGATCCAAGAAGAAATTAGAAGGTTAGGGCAAAGCAAGTCTAGGTCACGCTTGTGGTTCCTTTTATTAAAATGACAAAAATCAAACAACAAAAAAAGCAGAACTGGTGCCCCTCTCACATACAACAGCTCAGTCCTTGAACCTTCACATTGGGTTTGGGCATTGATTCAAATCAGGCAAAGGTGGGTTTGAAACAGGGACTTCAGAGCAGATCTCTCGCTGTTCAGGAGAATAACTGGGTTGAAAATCATATTCCCTAGTGGGTCTCTTTTACTTGGCCTAAATAAAGAAAAATCCCAGGATGAAGCAAAAATTCCCTACCCCCATCTCTGAGAGAGACAAACAGACTTGCACTTTATAAGTGGCAGATGCTCCAGAGACTCAAGATACTCCACAAATAGCAGACAAGTCACAGAAGCTTAAATGCACACAGATTGTGCCAACAGTATCTGCTCTTCATGCAAATACCCAATGGCAGAAACTTTGATAGGATTAGGCAACAAGGCATCTAATGAATGCCAGTGTTACTTAAGATCAAGTATGTACTTGGACAGATAAGCCCATATAACACTTTGTGGTTCTAGCCCAAGTTCTTTCAAAAAGTCAGTAAGAAAGAATTCAAATCACAAACTTCAGATACATAATCTATTATTAAAGGAAAAAAAAAATCATTATTTTGGCCACACACTGAAACCAGGTCTTGGTCATGGACAAAAACAATGATAATATTTTGTTATAGACTCATGTAATTTTTCAGTGGTCCTCTGGGCTCTAACAGAGGAAAAGAACATGCTGAACAGCTTGTTTGGCTGTTGAGGAACCATGACCACTAAAGTATGCTGGACAGCATTACTAGTTTGATGCTGACTATTGACATTACAACAGATAAGGGTGCAACTAACTAAAACCAGAGAAGCTTAGGGAAACATGTAGAAAAATTAAACTACTGAATTATTCTCAAACAGCTCCAAAGCACATAAGGGAAGCAGCATCCGGAACAGGCAGAATAGACAAAAATATGGTGAAAAAAATCTGCCATTGAAGTTATGGTTCAGGAGGCTCCTGAAGTCAGATTAAGGAGTCATACATGAAACATTCTTTCCCCTTCACAAAAATCACAAAGAAACAATGGAAAGGAAATCTACTCCAGTGGATGCGCGCTGTAGCTATATAACTGTCAGAATACATCATCAGCTTCCATTCAAGATTATATTATGCTACCAGTGGAAAATGACTTTAATATAAAACTGCTTCATCTGACTTACTTCAAGTGATTTACTTAAACACAGATATAATCTATTAAAAGTAGGCAAATAATTCTTTACTTATGTTGATGCCTCTAAGCAATGTTAAGTCAGGGAATAAATTTAATAGGTGATTAAAAGATAAGGCACTTGCACTTTTAAGGACAGCTGCAATTAAAATCTCTCAACACTCATTAGCAGTATTTGAAAAAATATCTGTTTAGACTACTTAAAAGCACATGTAGCACTGTCTAAAAAAAAAAAAAAGAAAACACTAAAAAATTCCTCTCCCAAGTCCACTAATTTAATTTCCTATAGCATCTCAGCTTTGCATTGGAATAAACGTGGTTACTCAGCTGTACAATTTGTTATATACTTCCACACAGCTTTGAAACACATCATCAGCATGAGTGTATTTTCACTGCCATATCATAAATCAGTGCTTTAAAATATACACTCAAAGCACCAGACCAGAGATATTTTACATTACAAATGTGCAATCACTGAGTCACTTCACTTAGTTTCTGCTGACTAAAAGAGCCATTCAGGCTCCCTTTATTGTCAATGGGAGTGAAAGCAAAAGTAAGCCTATGCTACCAGAGAGCAACTTAATCCATCCTAAAAGGTTCTTCCAGTTCATGCAAAATGTCTGGGTACTACAGAGGAAGTCTAGTGATTAGCTCTGGTTACCTAATTATCATGAAACAGAAAATATGTTCTTTTAACCTAACTGAAGCTGAATATAGGCGAGACAAACCTTATCCTATAAGTCTACTCAGGGAAAATAACTCTGGAAATTAAAATTTTAATATTAGGTTTGATTAAAAAATTAGTTTAAGTATGCCTTCTTTGGAAGACAAATTTGAGCTTTGATCTTAAGATATTCATGATTTGGATAAATGAAATTCCTGCCATCAGTTTTAATCTGATACATAGAGTTTAAAGAAAAACACCATCAGGCTTTTAATTTGTTGGCTTGGATAAGATGTCTCAGAAGAGAGATTACATTAGTTATATATACTGCTTTCTGGTGCAAGTAACAATATGAAGAGTAATAAAAAGCTACAGAAAAAACAACATGAGAAAGCTATCTTGATATTACCTTCAATTATATGCAGAATTTTTTTCTGCAGAAAAAAACTCAAGTATAGTACCTAATCCAATTTTATATCTAGGTATCTCAATCTTCAAGGTCCTGAACTCTATCATCACAGCCTTTTCCCCAACTTCTGATTTAAAAAACAACTGCAGTTCATAATTTCTGAATTCCAAATAAAACCCCAAATTCTTATCTCAGATCTAAATGCAACATTCCTGCAACTGTAATGGAAGCTACACACACTGGTACAAGACAAAATTTGATCTCCGGGCTGTCAGAGACCAGTTTGCCTTTTGAGATCTAGCCTCTAGCTCCTCCAGAGTATTAAGAAATATATGGGTCACCACGATGAAATATTCCCTCCCTCTTTTCTGTATCATTAGACTTTTTCAGCTCACATTGCATGATGTCTGCCCATGTTGACAGATACTTCAGTTTATTTAATGTAATAGCCAAAGTTCACTTCTTTCTACACATAATTACTCCAAAATCCTCTAGCTCCTGTTACTCTGCTTCGGGACTGATAGCTATTTGTGCTGCTCCAAGTATATGGGTTAAACTTCTCTTGTCAACTAATACACAAAGAAGTGTCTTTATGTGGTGAGCTAGTCCCATTTCTGAAAACTGCAAACTACTGGGCTTCATTTTAAAGGATTTGCTTTTAAGATACACAGTTTGACTCCTGTTTTCAGTACCAGTGCTAGTCACCAGCCATTGGCCTGATCTGACGTAACAAGTGTTTCCTCCTTATACTTCTCTTGCTTAACTATATTGTCTTTAGATCTGGAATAGTCCTACATTACTCAGGATGCATTTCTGCCTAAAATTAATCTTTTTTATCTAGCCAGTAACTCTTCATTTCAGGTCTTCAAATCCTTTCAGCTGTAAGAACTAAACAAAACCTTTTAACTAACCTGATGAGTTAATCACAGAGTCATATTTTTAATTAATTCTTCTATCCTTCCCCAGTGATAAGTCTGTGATGGGTTTAGACTAATCTCTTGGAGGTGTGGAACAATCCACTTCTTGCTGAATTAAATGCACAGTGGTCCTGTGGTGCTTCACAGGGTAGCAAACACACACCACAAGCAGTGAAACAACACAGAAAGCTTCAACTTTTTCCCCAACAAATTTAGAAGTAGGCATAAAGAATTACAATATGTAATTTAAAACTGCAAAGACATTCTTATCTCTTCCATTTAAATAAGTAATAAAGCAAACTTGTATTACTAAATCTGAATAATACAAATCAGCATGTGTTCATCAAGTGTTTACTTACAAGCACAAATACAATTGAAGCAGCATTAAGCATTACCTTTAATTTGGTTTCTTCTGAAATTTAAATTTAATATCGATCTACTTTTAACCTTTTCAACATTCATCTTACATAAGCAAATTACATTTCCTGCATACAAATGGAAAAACAAATTTATCTAAAATATAAGGCAAATCAAATGAAAAGAGTCTTAGAAAACACTGTAATGGTCCATTTGAGAATTGAAATGTCCAGAATGTTGGTGAAATGGTGGACTTTTAATTGCAGATAAAAGCAAGGATCAATATAATATCAGTCAGTATAACGCAGATGTGCAGTATGGAGAAATTTCATTGCTCTAATTTTTTGAGATTAAATTTAAGACCGCACTCACCAATTCTTTCCTAAGTTGTATAAAAAACTGCTTGCACTTGAAAGAAATTTTTACAATCTTCAACCTAAATGAAAAATAAAATCACAATATTTAAACACTTGGTAAACGGAATCATAGTTAAAGGCTTAAACGTACCTACTGAAAATATACTTTCTAGAGAGAACACAATTTAATTTCCATTAAATTTCCACAGACAAAAAATAAGATACAGATTACAAAAAATAGCTTGTATAATTTTAAATTCATGAGCCATATATTTCAGTTATCTATGAAATTCACTTGTTTCCACCCTAAACCCAAGTCTAATTGTTGCTAATTTAAGTATCTTTTCCCAGTTCCAAAGTCCAAAGAGCTATCCTACCTCCAGGTCTTTCCAACTAGATGGTCTCTTTTCTGAGACCGCTTTCATTATCCCACAGAATATGAAAAAATACTTTGAACTTCACCCAATTCCTGAAAGATATTCTTTCTCTATGTTCTTATACGTCTTTAAATATAACCAGAACTTGTTTCAGTAAAATAGCTGAGACAAGACATAAGGACAGAGATAAGGACTTGCAATCTTGGTATTTCTAAAGTTAAAAAACAAACAAAAAAATCATCACACTATGAGGAGGAAAAAATATTTAAAATAGAGATATAGCCTACAGATCTTTTCATCTGGCAGTTTATCTATAAAAATACAAGATGCTGACTGTAATTCCAGACAATGTGGGATGGTCACCGCAATGCTAGCTATGCTAAATGGGAAAGACAGCCTGTATTTCCATCATAATCCAATCCTACACTTTTTCAAAGAAGTGCAACATTTGGATAGTGCACATCCGTTATTAAATATACAGAAGTATTATTTTGGTCAAGAATAAAACCAAAGTTACAACTGTAATAAGAAAAACCACAGTAACTTCTGTGATTTTGAAAAGTAACAACCAATATGATAATGTAAACTGTAGAAAACTAAATTCAAATGATATTCCACTCAAAAGAGATTTCGCTGTAAATTGTCATGAAACCCAAAGCAAAAGATAATCTGGACACATATTGTGGGAAACTACACAGCAAACATTTCAGGAGTTACTATCAACATTTTACACAGCATGTTTATACAGAGCACCCTTACTAATCTGGACTGTTCTCTCTGATGGTCCCCGTACTTCAAGTTATCTTGGTAAAACTACAAAAGAAAGAAAAAAAACCACAAACCCCAAACAAACAAACGAAAATAAAACAAAAGTGTCAGTGAAGACAGTGCTACAGTTTTTGAGATAAACTTATTCATGAAGAATATACAGGGACCTCAGTAGCAACCGGAATTACTACTTGTGTATTAATCATCTTGTCGAATAAAAAAACCCTCTGGTCCAGGAAGGATGAGAAGCAAAATACTAACAGACACCTAAGTTGGATATCTATATATAGAAATCATCTTCTTAACTAAATCAAATGGAGACATTTTTCTCCAGGGGATTATTCAGAGCAGGAATCCAACTTGGATGCCTTAATTTGTTGAGATAATTTCTATCTCCAATAACATAAAGGGAGTCTGTGAATATTATACTTTATGCGTATTTAAATATTTTCCCATTTCTTTTTTATTTCCTAGTTTTGCCATTAGTTAAAAAAAGCAGCAGCTTTTTTCCTGTTTTTTTTTCAGTTCTTAACAAATTGTTGCTACTGAAGTCAGTTTCTCAAAGATTAGAAACTATAAAGGGGGCTATAACTTATCTACTGAAATCAAATTATTCCACTGGCAATGCGGCAAATTTCTCGGTATCTTCTGTGACAAAAAATTGCTTAAGAATAATTAAGGATGGATCCTAAATTTGCTGGATGGGACAGACACTAGTGATTACAGCAGTCTGACAGAGGGAAAAACAGAAAAAAGTTTTATTAGACTATTCAGGCTAGAGTTAACCAGAAGTATGTTTTCTAAAATTTTACAGTACAGGGCAATTAAAAGAACATTTTAATATATATCTTTTCTAAAAACTGACCTGCACATACAAATAACAGATTTGCTTAACACGCCAACAGAAAAGCTGAAAATAAATCAGAATTATTCTATTTATATAAACCTGCTACTACCTTTTACTCTTTCC